CAACTCAATCGAACGAAAATTTGTGTCCTTTTATCTTTGTCCTATTTTTCGTTCCACAAAAAAGGCAAAGAGGCAGCTGTAAACACAATATTTCGTCATTATACATTTATAATATTTTTATATAGTATATTTAACATATAAATATATATATATTTATTATTTTATTTATTTACACATTACAGGTCCATTACAAAGAAAATCCAGTAGCCCAGAAGCTATCCCGTTTACAAGTTCAGTGACCCAACAGTGCCCAAGACACGAACCCGGGTTCAGGACCCGTGAACCGGTTTGAAACCCAAGAATATATTAGGGTTTGTTTTTTTTCAAAATATTCATCAACTTTCCAACCCGCATTCCTCGTCCTAGCCGCTCACGCAACCGAGTTTTTCGACGTGTACTCGTGGGATACCAACAACCCACAATTGAGTCTTCTAGTTCGAATAGACTCTAGCTAAAAATAGCATGTGTTAGACTATAAATAAATGTAAAGTACACAATAAAAGGGGACAAGGATTATTAGAGAAATCCACAGTCATTGTAACTCAATCATCAAAGTCAATAAAAGAGTTTCTTTTAGTTAAAAGCTTCCCTTTTGTTTCATGCTTTTTTACATACATCTTGATAGCTTGAATAAAATCTGATAGAAGTAGTAACCACAACAAACATGCAAAATAGAATAAGAAGAGTTAGAGGAAGAGAGCGTAAAAAATAAAAACAGAGGCTTTGTAGTTTCAGCCACCGGCGTCCACAATAGTTGGAGGACTTCCTTGGTAGATCCGAATGGTTAAGAAGGTAAGGAAAGACCAGAAAAAGACATACCTGGAAATTTTGACAATCCAACGTAGAAGGCGACAGATCGGAGCAAGAGAAGTCAAACGATTTTCGACTTTTTCGTTGGAAACGAAATCTCTTTTAAGAAAAAAAACCCGATTTGGACCTAGAGGACCGATACGAGTCACCCGTTGTCATTTGGTGTCATCGATGGCCAATCACGATGGTGGCCGGTTGATTGGCGGTCGTGACTGGAAACAATAGAGAGTTGAACGTATAAGAAAGGGAACAGAGAAAGTTTATGGGAAATGCAAATGAATTAAAAAGTTTTTGTTATTTTTGCTTTTGCAGGAAACCAACTAACCCACATGTTTTTGGACTTTGGGGATAAATTCTCCCTATGGTCCTTCATATATTTTGGGTAAATCTTTCTTTAGTCCTCCATATTTTTTATTTATTTTATTTTACTCTATGAAAGTTATTTGTGATTATTTTTTATGTCCCCTTATTTATTGGGTCTCTAATTTACTCATATTTATTTATTTTTAATTTTAACACTTTTTATTTTATTTTTTCACTTTTTTATTTTGTTTTTATTTTTTCTCTCTTAACATTTTTATTATTATTATTTATTTATTTATTAAATTTAATATTTTTGTCTTTTGTTACGATTTTCTTTTAACATTTTTTATAGATAACTTTTTTATTTTTATTTTCCCCCTTATTTGATTTATTTTTTTATTTTATTTTCCTTTTTATTTAATTAATTTTTCCCTCGATATTTCTTTTATTTTACAGTCTAACATATTTTTTATTTTTCCAATAGTAATTTCAATCGGTCAGAGGTAAGCAATTCGAATTGAATCTTTAAATTTTAATTTAAATTTTTTTAATTTTTCGCAATTAAGACAACCGACAAATAAATTGGTACCGAAAGGGCAGTACCAAGGGGCTAATCCTTCCTTGACTGTAACCGACTCCCGGACCCACACATTTCTGATAAGATGCAAATCAGGTAAGATGTTGTCGACCTACCTAAATGGTTTTAAAATGGTCGGTGGCGACTCTAAACCAATTCATTTCAAGTCGAAGCCCAATTCTGGGCCCAACCGAAAGACGGCCGCGATAACTACGATTTTGCAACAAGAAGCCACCTTCCGATTCAAATTTCAAAATACAATTTCAACTTCAAAATGAAGGATATCATGTTCAAAGACATCTCAAGAGTCACCTGTAGTACAGCTCAACAATAGGGAGCCGTCCTCTTTTTATTCTCAACTCCACAGCAGAGTGTAGTTGATAAAGATTCAACGACAACATTGAGTTGGATTTCAGAAGTCAACAATCTTCACATGAACATGCTTGTTTCCAAGCCCATATGCACCGAACGAATTTTTTTTATCTTTGTCCCATTTTCGTTGTACGATAATGGGCAAAGAGAGGCAGTTATAGTCACTCATTTCGTCTGGGGTTTTATTCAATATATATAACATATATAATATATAGTTTTGAAACTTGAAAATGTATATAATATATAGTTTTGAAAACATTTTTTGAAAATATATATAATATATAGTTTTGGAAAACATTTTTTGAAAATGTATATAATATATAGTTTTGGAAAATATTTTTTGAAACTATATATAATATATAGTTTTGAAAACATTGTTTTTAAAAACATTTTTGAAAACATATATAATATATAGTTTTTTTTAAAAAATATTTTAAAAAAACACATAATATATAATTTTGAAAACGCTTTTTGAAAACAAATATAATATAGTTTTTAAAACATATAGTCTATAATATTTTCTAAAAAAATGATTTTTTTTTAAAACATAATTTTTGAAAACACGTTTTATATAGTTTTTATTATTATTACATAATATTTAATTTATTTATTTATTATTTTTAATATTATTTTCCTTTTTTTTTCTTAGGCTCAAAAGAGTCCAAAATCGGGTTCAACAGAAGCCCAATCGGGTAAGGGGCATGACCTAGTCCTAACCCAATTAGGTTTCACATTTAGCTATAGCATTGCACAGACATGAGCCATACGATCAAAACACGAACGAACGACCAAGATTGAAGTAAATCAAGGGTTGCGAAACCTAAAGAGATGCATGGTTGCGCAATCAAATCCGGACCATTGGATTTAACCCAATCCAACAGTCATGCAACAATCACAGCCAAGGTCCCAATCAAAGAGAACTGACAGGCCGAGAAAACCAGGACTGCACCATCCCGGGATTCTCGGCTATGTGAACGATGGTAAGCCCGAATAAGACGAAAACGAGGGGAATAACCCCTTCAAGATCAGCAACAGACTCGAATAAGCTATATAAATACCTCCAATGAGCACACCAAAGACATGAAAACAACAACAACGATCGGAGCCACAAAATCGTTAAAACAACCCAAATAAACCAAGCAACAGAGCCAAACACCACAAACATACCACGAAAAACAACATAGCAGCTAAGGATATGAAAAAACTGAGAACATACCATAAAAATCAAAATCAAGCAAAGCATTCACATAAGTAAAAGGAATATAAAAGCAGCGTTAGTCTTGGCTCATGAAGGAATTGGCCACCGGAAGTTGAAAAGGCACGTCGAAAAAGGTAAAATCGAACATTTCACCTTAGATCTACATCGTTTAGGAGATATTTAGGGGATTTAGAGTTCAGTTTCGGCATGGGGATGGTGAGAAGAACATTCTATGTAAGGTTTTCAAGATTCTGGCCACCGATGGTGGTGGCCGGAGCGGCGGAGCGACGATGGAGCTATGTCGGTGAGGGTCGACTGTTCGACCGGGGATTGAGAGCGTTTGAAGAGAGGAGAGGGGGAGTGTTTGTTGAAATGTGATAGAAATGAATTTTGGGTTTAAATGGGGGTATTTATAAGAATGACTAAGATGTAATTATTAGATTTCTAAATCCTTTCCGCAGTCCTCCTTGTTTTAAACGTAATTCATTTTGGTCACCATATGCAATTTTGTCCTCAAATTATAATATAGTCAATTTAATCTTTGCTTATATTTTTATATTTGTGCAAATTAGCCCCCCAACTTTTGGTTTTTCTCACTACAATATCTAATTAATTTCAATTTAAGCCTCGACTCTCTTTATTCTTTCCGGTACAATCCTTGAACTTTAATTTTCTTGTATGTCTTTTATTTATTTGAATATTATCAATTTCTTTTTATTTGTTTTTAAATCTATTTTTATTTTAACTCTAACTTTAATTCTTTTCAATTTTACTTTATTTATTCTTCTTATGGCCTAATATTAATTTTATTTTTTAGGGCAATTTTAAATTTGTCAAAGGGGTAAGTGATTCGGATCGAACTTGTAAATTTAATTTAACTTTTAATTTTCACAATTAAGACGACCGATAAATTAAATTAGTACCGAAAGGGCAGTATAGGGGTGCTAATCGTTCCCTGACTGTAATCGATCTCGAATTCAATTCTGGTAATCACGTAGATCAGGTAAAAGGGAATCCGATCAACCTAGTTTTAAATGATCGGTGGCGGCTCTGTCACATCAAAATTAAGTTAAGCCCAATTTCAGACCCACACGGAAGAAGAACGGTCACGACAAGTAACCATGCCCATATCTATAGCTTCAAATGCAAGTGTGGGCTCGTTAGATGTTGAAAAGATGATTATGTGAATTAGAAGCAAATACAAAGATTTATATGTAATAGAAATAATAAGTCCACAACCGTTTTTATTATATCATTTCTTTACAAAATTATAAATAACTTTTTTAATTCTCCTCCCGAATTCAAGGTTTCGTCCTAATTTATCGGATAAATTCACGTCGCACACCTAATTTTGATGGGTGAGTTTTCCGATAGGAATTTTCTATATACTCAAGAACTTGAACCCAAAATTTTACTTACGCGATATAAAACTGCTTGTTGAACCAACCTCTTAATTATAATTAAATTCTAATTAATATATATATATATATATCCATATTTATCTCTCTCAAAGTCCCCTTCCAAACCGTTTACTACTTAGACCCATCAACCAACTGTTTTTTGCCCTTTGTATCTTTCCAAAATTCTAAGCAAACCCCACACAACCATCATCGTCATCATCACCACCATGAACCCTCCTCTCCTAACACTTTCTCTTTCACTTTATAAAACCCATTTCACAAAACCTTGTTAGTTATCAACAAATGGAAAAACCCACAAACACTACATAACGCACTTCACAAAACCCTCTCTTTAGGGTATTTGATTTCCATGATGAGGAAGCCTAGCAATGGTGGTGCAACTGCTACTACTAACAAGCTTAGGAAAGGGTTGTGGTCACCGGAGGAAGATGACAAGCTCATCAACTATATGTTAACCAATGGCCAAGGTTGTTGGAGCGATGTAGCCAGAAATGCTGGCCTGCAAAGGTGTGGCAAGAGCTGCCGTCTCCGTTGGATCAATTACCTGAGACCAGATCTCAAACGAGGCGCCATATCGCCGCCGGAAGAAGAGCTTATAGTCCATTTGCATTCCATTCTCGGCAACAGGTCTGCCCTTCATCCCTATCCTGCATGCATTCCTTTCCCCTTTGTTTTCCATATTAACTTTAGAAGAACAGTAACTTGGTCAAATTCTGGTTTTGGTCCGTTTACGTTCGGCATTTTAAGCGGAATAGTTAACGGTGTTAACTATTTTGACTAAACAATGAATTTATAACCATAGAGAGACAGGGGGGGGGGGTTAGAATCATAATTTGACCAAAGTTGAATGAGTGTGATACATGCTGTTCTGGAGTAATCATTATAGCAATGATAATTGAATAGAAATGGTCTAATTGCTTTCTTCATTAGGCAATGCCTTTCAACCCTGTTTATGATTCCATTGACAAGATAAGAGCTTTTGAGCATAGTCATCTTCATCATTATAATCCCCTCATCTCATGTCGGAAAGGATACATAAAGCAAAACTCCTTTTCAACTCTTTTAAAGGTTAACTACAATTTTGGTCCCTTTATTCAAATTCCTATACTTCAATTTTGGTCCCTCTAATTTTGTGATTTCAGAATCACAAATGAGAAGTAGCAGATAAGAGACATCCTTGTTTGGTTAATTGCTTGAAAGATACTCCAGCCCTATATACCAACCGTTTGAGTTGAAGATACTCAAACCCTAAAATTAAATAATTAATGCTTTCCGGCTTGTTTAGCACTAAAGCATCCATGCATTTTATGCATGAAAAACATTGACCCTTGTTTCCCATCTTTGTTGTTTCGAAGGTGGTCTCAAATTGCGGCTCGCCTCCCTGGTCGTACCGACAATGAAATCAAGAACTTTTGGAATTCAACGAAAAAGAAAAGGATCAAGAAATCGTCCTCCTCCTCCTCACAGAACGCAAGCGATCCATGGACGTCGAACCCTAACAATGATTCCAAGGCCGTCGGCGGGTTCACGTCAGTGGTGGAACAACGGGTTCTGCCCATGTACATCGATTTATCGTCGACTTTGTCCAACTCTTCTTTGCAATCCACAGTCTTGAATCCCACTGGAGCTGTGTTCGGTGCCACCACCGGATACTTTGGGACACAGGTCGGTACAAGTCTCGATTGTTTCTACGGCGAAAACGAGATATTCGATAACGTCGACAATGTGGAGGAACTATATATCCCTCCTTTAGAAAACGTTGGAGAAAGACGTAAAGCCGAAAACACATTTGATAGCGACATCATCACCACCGCCGTGACCACCACCAACAACAACATTAACAACAACCCTTTTAGTATCAAATCAGAGAACATTACGGCCAGCCCGGCCATGGGGAATTTTTGGTTAGGAGAGGAGCTTAAAGTTGGAGAATGGGATTTAGAGGACTTGATGAAAGATGTTTCTTCCTTTCCATTTCTCGACTTAAAAAATTTGAATTATTAAACACGCAGGTCAAGAAATTAAAACCCTAGAATCCATTTCCAAACCTTAAACCCTGTCTCTTTGATAGTGAAGAAAACTACAAAAATCCTAGATTCCGTCAATACTTACAAACCAGTAGTTTTTTTTTTTTTTTTGAAAACATTTGTACAAGGTTGTAGGATAGCTAAGTCTGGAATAATGGTGGGAAAGTATTAAATTACTGTTGCAATTCAATATAATAATAGTCTCCTAATTATTTTTAAAGTCAATCATAATATCAAATTACATCTGCAAATAATAATATAGAAATTCTGAGATTTTTAAAATGTAGATCTCGTCCACACCAAATATTACGGCTACTATTTATATTATAAATGTGTTGTGAAAGTAATTCTTTTATTATCAACAATAAGTGTATTTTGATTTGATTCGAAATGTATTAAATAAGCCATTTAAACAGTGTCATGAATAAATGCAGTATTTCATTTCTAAAGTAACGTAGTTGGCATGTTCAGGTGTTAATTTATTTGGATTAATTATAGAAGTAAATAGATGATTATAAAATAATAAGAAAGAAAAGAATATATAAATATACATTAAAATATAAAATAATAGAATTATCGCGACTACATAAAATTCTAAACTTAGATACTTCATTAACTGGAATGACATCAATGATTGAGGGGGTGTTGTTCTTTCTAAAGGTCTTGGGTTTGAATAGATAGGGATTGACGGATTGTATTGTTAATTGTTAATAAAGATTTTAAATATATTCTAATTACTCAAAAAAATTCCTAAAAGTTCGATTTAATTTTTTTCTTTTAACTTATTTTCACCTAGTGCGAACTTTTTAAACTTTGTTAGACAGAATTCAAATTACAAATTCTAATATTTTATTTGAATTAATTAAAATAAATATATAATTTTATTTATCCAGAAAGCATATATGTATTCATGGACAACTAAAGCACAAGGAAAAATGAATAGAAGCTTGTGTAATCATAAGATTAATTTGACGTGGACGTCAAAACTAACAAAATTGAATGCAATACAATAAGTCTCAATTGATGTCTCAATATTTAAAATCTGAACGCGAACGCGACCTAACTTGACCTAATCTCGTCCTTTAAAAAATCTGATTCGACTCGAATTCGATTTTTTTAAAAAAGATTAACTGGTCAAAACTCGTTAGATTTAAGTTAAATTACTATCCCTAAGTGGACCACTATGTCCGCAAGGTTGCTAGTTTGGCAAGATTATCTGCGATCTGGTTGCCTTCTCTCTGAATATAGTGAACTCTAACGATCCAGTCTTTCTTCAGCACCTCACAGGAGTGCAACTGACTGTTCACCATGTAATGCCCCGATTTCTGGGTTAGCATTTTTGGGCTGACCCGAGAGAGTTAAATAAACCCATTAGACTTACAAGAAGTTTTTGTCCAATCATAATATGATTTGGGCTTGGATTGAGCCTAAGAGGATACAAAATGATATTTTTTATTTGAGTATAATTGAAGAAAGACTAAGGTTGTAATTTACTCCGAAAGTCTTTTAAAGCTGAAAATCTTTAAAGATGGCTTATGTCAAGCTATTCATCTCCACAAATATATAATATATTTTAAAAATTATATATATATATATTTAGAACTATATTACATAACACTAAAATAATAAAATAAGATCAAAATTCAATATAAATCTTTAGACAAAAATAAGTGTAAGGAAAGGTTTTATATATGATTGTTTGGCTAAGGAGGTTAACTATCACTGTGCTTCTCATACTTTTATCTATTTAATCATGTACTCTCTCAGAGAACTTGATTGTGGGGAACGAACCAGAATCATCAATCAGGCAATATTCTTCTAGAACTATCACTTCTCCTACATCAAGGTCGAAGCTGAGTTTGTCCCTAGGATTTGATGGTGTGTTTTTGGCTGCCATTGATGCATATGATGGTTTCTCTCCTCTCGATAAGGGATTTACTACACTTGTAGTTGGGCTTTGTTTCGTGTTTGTTTCTTCGTCATAGACCATAGTTACGTATGTTAGCATGAGGTTATCCAGAGCACAAACCGCCTCTGATCTTACGTTTTTAATGCTTGTTGGTCGTTGATCAAGATAAGAGATCTGGTCTTTCCAACACCGACGATAGGCCTATGTTCGACGAAGATTTTGGTATACTATGTAAAACACTTAAATTAGTCTTTAATGGTTGAGATGTCCATATCTATAAATTAAAATCTTGGATTGGAAATGAATTAAAATTGGAGGATGGTGCAAAGAAGTAACTATTAAGCAACACAATGACTTGAAGATTAATAAAAGGGAAAGGGGTGGCCATATATATTTATATTTTCCTTTCATTAATTATTAACTAACTTCATTGTGATTTGAGTTTATTGTTATTTAATTTGGAGGAGTGATGAAGGTCAAATTATGACTGTGGTCCTTCAACCATGCTAAAATTTTGGATTTGACCTCGATACTTCGATTTAATATAATTTGGGGCTTCTATTTTATAACGTTATTACTTAAATAATGTTAATTATTTTTATTAACACTCACACGTTTAAAAAAACCAATGCCATCATGATAAGTTAGAAAAACATACTTTTAAAGAAAAATTTGTTAGTATTTTAATCAAAATAGTTAAAGGATTTATTTTTTAGACTAATTAATTGTATTAGATAAGTAGGCGGATCAAATGATATAAGATTGAAGTAAATGACCTAAATTTTATATTTAAACAAAAATATATTGCGATTAAACATATTTAATTTATTAAATTATTAATTCAAATCGAAAATTACAAAATTTCAATATATTAGCAATCCTCCGATAAGGGCAGGACTATAATTTGATCAAGTAATAGTAATGGATGGTTGTTTTCTATTTAATCATGGAAAGCGACGGTGCTTAAAAGTAGGCTGACCGTTTAATAATTGCCTGCTTTAAAGGCTTTTCGCTATTTGTGGAATTTTCAAATAATAAAAAATAAATGTTTATTCATGTTTTATAATATTTTGATATAATAAATTAAGGTAAAATATTTTTGAACTTGAATTGAATTTATTCAAAGTTTTCAAAAATAATTCAAAGTCTAATAAACTAAAATTTGAGCAAAAATAAGTTTTTTAACATACGTAGTACTGATACAGTTCTTATAGTATCGATATTATATGAACAATACTGATATTGTTCATATGGTATCGATACTCTCTCGGTAGTATCGATACTACAGCTTGCTCAAATTTCATAATACAAAATAGGTACCGATACCTAAAAGGGTGCCGATACTACTTTACATAGTAGTATCGATACCATGAATGATAGTATCAATACCGTCAAGCCCAACGGCTAGTTTTATTTAAATATTACAAAGATAGTACCGATACTTCCTATAGAAGTACCGATATCCTCTGTACTGGGCAATTTATTTTTGCAGAGAAAACATCCCCAAACGACTAGAAATCATCCCCAACGGCTAGAAACGACCACAACTTTATTTCAACATATAAATACAAGTTCAAGACATTTAAAGAAGGGTTAGAACACCTATACAATCAATCAAACACAAGAGAAGAGCTTTGCACTCTTTATTTCTATTCTCTTGTAAATATTGTGTATTTGTGAGCTTTAATTTGTAAACATCCTACCTTGTAGAAGTTTTATTGTTTACTTTTTGAGAAGGAGTTTTGGTTCTAGCTAAGTATTTGAAAAGTTAGGGAGTTTGTAAAGGTTATCTCTTTGTCCTTGAAAAAGAAAGAACAAATTAGTGGATTTGTTGAAAAATCTTAAGTGAAGAGCATAAGTAATGGATGTAGAATTAGTTGAGAAGTTGAACCACTATAAATTGTTGTGCAAAATTATCTATATTTTCTTTCTTCTTATTTTCTAAATACAATTTGTCAATTCATCCCTCTTGTCACTTTTTTGTTGTCATTTTGAGCTTCATAAATCCTAACAGTAAATTATACATTTAGTACCTAAACTATCAATTTTGATCTGTTTTAGTATCTAAACTTTTAATATTTTTTTGAACTTAGCGTTTAATTTTGAAGGGGAACTAAAATGAAACAAAACTAAAGTTTTTAACGGCGAGGTACTAAAATTAAATAAAATATTGTCCTTATTGGAGGATTGCTAATATATTAAAACTTTGTAATATTCTATTTTAATTAATAATTTAATAGGTTAAATATATTTAATCGTAATATATTTTTTGTTTAAATATAAAATTTAACTCATTTACTTTAGTATTATATAATTTGATCCACCTACTTATATAATATTATTAATTAGTCCAAAAAAATCCTTTAACTTATAATTTAGTATGATTTTGGAAAAAATTAAAAAATTAGTACTAAATCTAGATGCATAATTTGCCATTAAAATTAAGGGAAAACTAGTGCGACGCCTGAGAGATTTGAACTCTCGCGTAGAAACCCCATGTACTTAGCAGGCACACGCCTTAACCACTCGGCCAAAGCGTCGCTTGTTTTAAATTTTGACGTATATTATCTTTATATTTAATTTAAAATGGAAAAAATCAGATTTTGTATTGCAAGGCTTGTACGGTTCAATAATATTTCATGGGCTATCAGTAGACAGCTTACATTTGATTTGATCCATTCTTCCTGATCCTGTGTGATTGTGATTCATTTGATAAAAATAATATAATTTTTACGAAGGATATTTAATAAAAGAAACTTAAAATTCAATAAATATTATTTTTATATTTATCTTGTAAAATAAACCAAGTTTATTTGTCGGGTCTCAAGAAACAATAACCGTTCTCAATGGAGATCACTCGGTTCGTGCTCCGTTACTCTGTCTTTGATAACGTATGCCTCTACTATTACTATGTACACGCGCTTTTTCACCGGAAACCGGCTCTTCACCGGTTTTCTGCTCTTAGTCAAGTTTAGTAAATGCTCTCAACGGAAAGGTCAATGCCATTTTCAAAAGTTTTAATTTGATTGGCACCGGTGCGGTTGGTTGCGGATGAATTTATGCATGCATATGTTGGTTTCTGTAATGATGAAAATTAAATTGACATAATTTTTGACGATTTATTATGTATTAATAGTAT